CTCTCTCTCTCTCTCTCTCTCTCTCCCCCCCCCCCCCCCCAGTACCACCTCGGCCCGGTCCCCCACTACCAGCGGTGCCCCTGGACCTCCTCCCTCCACCCCCCAAGCACCCCGGACCCCGCCCAAGTTTTAGTCAGGGCAGGTATTTTTCATAAAAGTCATGGACAGGTCACAGGCCCGTGAATTTTTGTTTACGGCCAGTGACCTGTCCATGACTTTTACTAAAAATACCCATGACTAAAATATAGCCTTAATCATTGTGACTGGTACAGTCTGTTAACATGACTTTGGATAAAACAGGGAGTGTCTGTGTGTGTGGTGGGGGGGGAGAGGGTATGATAGCTCTTTAGGAATAGGGAACTAGGGATTTAAGACAGAGGAAATCCTGGAGGAAAATCCCAGTTGAAGCCAAGATCACAGAGGAGGCTTATTGTATATTATTGTTTTATTTACTATTAAAGCTAAACTCCTGGGAGGGAGGGAGTTTGAATAGTACAACCCTGATCCAACAAGCACACCTATTATGTGCAAATGTTTACAGAATCAGTCTAATTGAGGCCCTATCTAGGCTAGATTGTGGACATAGAGGGAAATTGCACTCAATTTCCACACAACCCTTCTGGTGCTGGTTGAAAAATATTTTGAAAACAGTCCAGCCAACAGTCTGTGATGTTTTCTCTGTTTGGATGGGTAAAAATAAGCTTCACTGATGATGATTATTACTCAGAACCACCAGACTGTTTTTTTGTTTGTTTTTAATGAATTATCAGAGTGTAATAATATAAAGTAGAATCCTTGAACTTTTATGGCTGGAAAGGGAACCTACTAGGTCAGTTGGTCCAAGCTCTTGCTCTTTCTTTAAAGGTTTCTGTCTCTGTACGATCTCTACTTGGTGTGAACCAAGAAGTGACTTGAAGATTTGTAGTAATTTTGACTCTTACTCAGTCAAATCTGTTCTTTTCTCCCTTTGAAAATTAGCATTCTTCCTCTATTCCCACCCTGCACACCTCTCCCTCTACCCCCCCTACCCGCTTTCCCATTAATCTTGCCATTAAAAATGTCTTTTTTAGTAAACTGAGGTTTTTGTTGGAAATTATCTTTATCATCAAACCAATTGCTTCTTGCTTCTAGGACAATTTTTACCTTTTTTTGTATCTACTATCCCTGTATGTTCAGTACAATATTCAGAGCAAAACAAAACGTCCATAATAGCAAACTATATAATCAAACATTCATAATTGCTCCTTTTGCCCATAGTAATTAATGAGGTGAAATAGTCTCTAGTTACATTTTTACAAACTGATGGGAAGCTTAGAATATCCAAAATATACCAGTGTATAATGGCCCTGTATTAAAGACCAGGTTGATTTTAATATTTGTGTTTGCATGCATGTGTGTTAGAGCTGAATGGAGAATGGTAATTCTGTTTCATGGAAGATTTCAAGATTTGATTTCTTTTCAATTCAGAAAGCAAACCAAAAGTTTTTCAGAATTCTTCATGAAAGGGAATTACCATTTTCCACCCAGTCCTACTGGAAGTACTAACTCGGAGGCCCCTCGTCTGGCAAGCTGCCCATGAGCCCAGGCTGCTGAAGAGCTGTAAGCCTAAGAGCTTGGGAGCCAGGACTCCCAGGGCTTTGCAGCAGCCCATCATGTATGTTGCTCAGGAGCCAGGCAGGTAGGAGCAGGCAAGAGCAGAATTTTGTCAAAATTGAAGCATATCCACAGAACCTTTCAGTTTTGGCAAATCCTGATGAAAAACCATTGAGCTGAAAGTGTGTGTGTGTGTGTGTGTGTGTGTGTGTGTGTGTGTGTGTGTGTGTGTGTGTAGTAGTAAA